TTGCCATAGTCATTTTCTGCTATCACTTTAATTATTCAATCAACATCTGTCTCCAACAGATACTCCCAGTTATGCTGATGTTGGTACTAACAATCAAAAGCTACTTGAAGACCGGCTTTGTGAGTAAAATGTGTACACAATTAGTTAGATCTTATAAATTGTTTCCTCTTATGATATGCATTTTAGAACATTCTTCCATGAATTGTTTGTAATACCTTTTGATATTTTTGGCTCACAGATTTAGGGGTTAGACAACCAAGGTTGGAAGGTGAAGAATATTTATCGATTGTTGATGAATTCATGGAAGCAGTTTTCAAACGTTGGCCCAAGGCTATCATACAGGTATATTTCTTTAAGAAGTAGAATTTTATGTGGCATGTGTTATACTTGTGTGTCTATCACGTTGTTAAGTTAATGGTTATGCATTTCAGTTTGAGGATTTTCAAATGAAGTGGGCCTTTGAAACTCTGAAACGGTATCAGAAAAGGTTTTGCATGTTCAATGATGACATACAGGTTAGTTCATGGTGAAACGTATTGCTATTTATATGGATTAAAGGAGCAACAAATGTACATTGTTGTTGGATTATCATACTTCTAGAATTAATGTCCTCAGTGAATGTGTTATAGGGGACTGCTGATGTTGCACTTGCGGGATTATTGGGAACTGTTAGAGCACAAGGTCAACCATTGGCTGACTTTGTAAACCAAAAGATAGTTGTTGTGGGAGCTGAAGGTATTTGCAACAGTCAATTATAACAAGCTTATACCTGAAACTTAGTGCTTTTGATTTTTCTCTGTGTACATCCTTGTAGCCTTCTTTTTCATCTCATTCAGTTTTGTGGCTTCCAGTGCAGGGTTGGGTGTTCTTAACATGGCTGTGCTGGCTGTTTCAAATATGACAGGAAATAATGAAACAGCTGCACGCTATTTTTTCCTAATTGATAAAGATGTATCATTCTCAGCTTATAAACCTCAGCAATCTTTTCTTTCTCCTTTGCATACCCTCCTCTATGTTCTTTATGACATCTATTGATCTGTTCTGTTGCTTAATGTTAATGCTTGGAATCTTGGATGATCATGCCAAAAAAACCAGAAAATCATTTTGACATAATGTAATTGGTTCATTGGTTTTCTTTTATTCATTCAAACTTTACTCCAGCTGTGGGAATGCTCTACGATCAGCTATTCACAGATTTTAAAGCATCATTATTTGTCACTTGTGCAGGGTCTCATTACTAAAGAAAGGAAGAATATTGATCCAGCAGCAGCACCATTTGCTAAAGATCCAGTAGAGACAATGGGACTTGGGGAGGGTGCCATGTTGCTCGAAGTGGTGAGTTTCATGGGTGAGAGTAGCCTCTATTTGTCCAAGGCTGGTCTTTATGATATTCTTTATAATGGAAAAACATTCAGCAAAATCAATTGGGAAGAAAGAGTTTAACGGCCTTGTTGTTTTGTTACTGCTATAATATTTAAAGTCTCAGACGCCCTTGTGCAAAAAACAAAAGAATTTCTGATTTCAGAGTCTATAAATTTTTTTTTTTTCAGGTGAAAAAGGTCAAGCCCCATGTGCTGCTTGGTTTGTCAGGAGTTGGTGGCATCTTCAGTGAGGAGGTGAATATATTTCATTTTCATTTTGACTTATTGTCACTAATTTTTATTTAACCCTAGTTATTAGTAGATAAAACTAGTGAATCAAACAATAAAATGTTTTAGAGGACCTTTTGTGACTTTTTGAACTGGTGAGCTGTTGGTTCATAGTTGCCTACATGACCATAAAATGATGCTTTAAAATTTTTGGTCATGATAAGAGTCTCAGCATTTTTCCATCAAAATGTTTTATAGAATACTGATTTTGGTTTCTTTTTGAGTGTATAATAGTTTGCCAGTGTGCATGCCTCTTGTCAATTCATGCTCTAGCTGCTTTAATTGAGGTTTACACAACATGCAAGTGTATTTATTAGTGTGATTCCTTGATGTTAAATAGAATTTCCTTGACTTATCCACAGTTAATCTGAGGGAAAGTTATTATAATCTTAATTACCTTGCATTTTGCTCTGTTTGAGTTCCTTACAAGTTTCAGTTACAATAAAAAGCAGGTGTTGAAAGCCATGCATGAATCTGATTCAAAGAAACCTGCAATTTTTGCCATGTCAAATCCCACCTTGAATGGTTTGTTTTTCTGCCAATCATTTATAGCATCCACATTCTTCTTATGGCACCTATTGATATTTTTTTGCTTTACATGTGGGACAGCTGAATGTACTGCTGCTGATGCATTTAGGCATGCTGGTGAAAACATAATCTTCGCAAGTGGAAGCCCTTTTCAAAATGTTGATCTAGGTATCTTTCCTCCTGTTTGAAGCCTGTTAGAAATATTTTGCAATTTGCACTATCAGTTGAAGTAGTTAAAGTATTTGGTGCTTCTTTCCTCATAAAGAGGCACTCCTGGCTATGTTCTGGCTGGTGATTGTGGATTTTTAAGTCTGATTGATTGTCATGTCCTAAATAATTTTCTTGCTGGCAGGCAATGGTAAAGTAGGTCATGTAAATCAAGCAAATAACATGTACCTGTTCCCTGGGTTGGTGTTCTTTTTCTTCTTCATTGTTGTTGTTAGGTTAGCCTTAAGATTTTGATTACTTGACTTACAACTTTGTTGCTTCCAATCCAGGATTGGTCTAGGAGCTCTGCTCTCAGGTGCCCGTTTTATAACAGATGGAATGTTGCAAGCAGCTGCTGAATGGTATGGATAGCACTTCCTGAGTGTGTGTGTGTGGTGCTGGAGGACTATTATTGACACTGAAAATGCATTAGAAAAATAATGTTCAAATTTCATTGAGTCCAATAGGCTTTTGTGAAACTAAGCACTGAATCCTGATTGTAATGGTTGCGAACTAATGACAACATGTAACATATTTTAGTGAGGACGCAACTCAGGGTCCTAACTGCATTGACTATGCATCTTGTAGTCTTTGTGTTGATTCTAGTTACAAGATCAGCTAAATTTGACCGTGTCCATGTTTATATATTTTTGAGTTTCTAGTTAATTGAATCATTGAGGGAGCTAATTTGTACTGAATATATTGGATTAACTTCATTCTGTTGATTTATTGTCATGGGATGTTATAGTCTGCATATGGTTACCAAGTTTTATTTTACTGGGTGATTGATTAGTGTATAAAAGTTCTCAATGAGCTAGTGTTTATGTTTCTACCTTTTTTAAACCTATGATATGTGGTGACAGGAGATCTGTTTCATTAACATATGTTGGTAATGTCATGCTATCTTTGCAGTCTTGCATCTTATATGACAGATGAAGAGATTCAAAAGGGCATCTTGTACCCATCTATCGATAGGTAATATCTAATGACTGTTAGTGGCTAGGCTTTTAGCTCCCTAGTATAGGATGTGTTGACTTTGATACAATCATATTGGCTGTCTAACATTTGTAGATACGAGCTCAGCTAATGAATTTTAGCATCATTATTCATTAATAATCCTGGATTTTAATGTGGAAGAAACTGGGGGACCTCCCTAAAAGTTGGGTGGGGAACCCCTTAAAGATTGAAATTTCATACGTATGAGATACCTATATGCATGTAACATGTATTGTATCAGGAAGAAAGAAAGAAAAAGAAAAGAAACAAACATAAACATAATGCTATGGTCCCAATTCTGAAAATTGAACTCCACTTATGCAATACAGTATTCGGCATATTACAGCAGAGGTTGGAGCTGCTGTTCTGCGAGCAGCTGTTAGTGAAGAATTGGCAGAAGGACATGGTGATGTGGGTGCCAAAGAGCTCATGCAAATGTCAAAAGTATGAAACATCTTTTGCTCAACTTGCAAGCTCTTTTATGTGATATAAACAGTAATTTTTTTATATGAAAACAGTGATTGTTTGAAGTACACATTAAATAGGAAAACATATGTCATTTAAAAGAATCTCAAATCTCACCTCAAATGTGCAAACAAAATGGTGAGAATATCCTCCTCCTCACCCAGTCCTGAACAGAAAGCCCAGGAAATTGTGGTGTTGAGATTGATTTAGCAGGTGGTGAATCATGACAGTTTATAAAGTTTCTGTAACTAAGCTTTTCCAATGATTGCAATGGTTTAAAGTCAACTGGCAATGTTTATCAGAGTTAATTGTTTATGAACATTTGGTTTGGAATTTTGGATGCAGGAGGAGACAGTTGATTACATCACGCGCAATATGTGGTATCCTGTTTACAGTCCTCTTGTTCACGAGAAGCAGGCGAACAATTATTTGATTCCATTTTACAGACTAGTTATGGTTAATTCTATGTGAACTGCAGTCAGAAGTTGTGCAGGCAAAGTGCAAATTCATTTTAGCCATTGCTCTCTATCATATTTTCAAGAGAGACGAATAAAGGAGATCCATCAAGGCTCTTTCCAATTCAGAAGCTGTAGAAAAGCTCAAAGAATCAGGACTGTATTCTACTCTATGAGTTATAATCATCACTTAAAAACTTCTTAATACCTATCAAGTCATTGTTTGTTGGACACATTGAAATTGATTATCATTTCTAGGCCGGCATGAATTGATTATTTGAACCTTTTTTTTCTTAATTAAAAAAACTAATTTTGCAATTTATTTTTGTTCTTGAGTAATTTGTTTAGGAGTTGTGATATCCATATGATTTTATAAGCAATGTTTGGAATAGCATAGGATAAAATTTTCAAGATAGGATTAGATTGGTTAAAATAAGATGAGATCAATTTAAAATAATGACATTTTGGTTAACTACCCAAATAAAAATAAGATTAGATATAAATATGTATCTAAAAATAAAATCTAATATTTGAGACAAGTATATAATTACTGACAGGATCAACCTGCTTGCATTATTACTACCTTGTAAGCCCGTGGGATACAGTCTAATCTCAACTAATCCCATGGGGTAGGTGTAAATTTTATTTAGTAGAGATAGGACTGGACAGAAAATAGGATAAACACTATCCTATCTTGTAAGCCCCCAAACGCTGGAAGCAGTAAGATGGGACAAAATTTTTGTCCTATCGCATTGTTTATCCTGAACTCCAAACGAGCCCTTTAGATGGTGAAGTTTCTTGCTTGTTTCTTCATTCCACATCACTGTAGAATAAAAAATGGTCTATCTCTGTATTTAAATGTTGGATTTTGACTTTTTTGGTTTTTCCTCTTTTCCCCATATATCATTTTCCTAACTTTCAATACTTCTATGCTAGCAAAATTAGAAGAACCATCCACTTAACTTGGAAAAAAAAAAAAAGGTACTTGGTTTATGTGGGAATTTAATTATTTTTATTATTCTTATTATT